GGGTTTTCCATCATTTCTATTTACCTTATATCATCTTATTCTAGTATTTCTAACTGCTCCGTGTTAAACAAAAGTATATACTGTACCATTTTCAATTTCTTCAGGCCTTTGATTGATTCATAGAGACGAGCATCATCTAAAGAGCAGAGAAAATAAAGCTAATGTCATATTAATCAGTGTTTCAATTACATTATATGAATTCCGTAATCTTCTAAAACAGATAACGTGAAATGTAAACATTAAGTTTAATGTAAGTGATTAGTTATAAAGGATTAAGGCTGACCATGGAGAGGAGAGTATTTTTTGTGTTGAGTTTCATCCTGGTTGATCATGTGATCTGTAGCAGAGCCCTGATTGGTGCTCTGAGACCTGCTGGACCCCAAAACACAAGTAAATACAGCAGATTTGATAAGGAACATGTGATGTACTGCTGTTGGATTCAGACGCAGAGGAGAGAGCGTTGTACCAACCTGATAAAGCATGAATCTGTAAAAAAAAAAAAAAAAAGACATTTGCTGTTACATGGTTTTATTACAGTGCAGGTAATGACATCAGACTACATCTGTGAGTTTGACTAATCAGTGTGAAATCAATCTAATATCAGAAGGAGAAGAACTGACCTTTTGACTTTCTGCAGCGATGCAGAAACAGCAGCAGGAGAATAATCAGTAAAACTCCACAAACCAGCCCAACAATCAACAACACAGGAAATGGAGAGCTTTCAGGCGCTGCCATGATAATAATCTATATTAATATTAATTATATGACACTTTTCTTAAATACATTTACAAAAACAGAGTTATGGTCTCATCAAGCCTCACAAATGGTGACTTTCACCCTGGCCAGAGAAGAACAATAGAAAAATATATATAACAAACAAAATATATCACATACACACAAATGCAAATACACTTACACAGTAAATAAATGTATAAGATCAAATACACTTAAATAAACCCCTGATCATGTATCATTTATGTCTAGATATCACAGTATCACAATAAATCATCCTCCTGTTGCTTGATGAAACGTTTCTTCAGCTCAAAATAAATACTACTTTGTAATATAAACTAACACACCTTTCACTGCTAATCACATATTTACTTTTGTATTTTTATGTTTCATTATTGAATAACCAATGTAGAAAACATCTCTTACACAAACTAATAGGTTAAGTCTGCTGAAACAAGGCCAACTTACTTTTACTTTACTTTTTTACACTTACCTGTGATACAACTTACAAGAAAATGCTGTTTAATCACACTCACATTTTACTGACATCCAACTCTCTGGTGATGATCGACTCAGCTGACCTTGTGACTCTCTTCCTTCACATTTATAAAAGCCTTCATCTGACTTTGACACTGCAGGGAGAGTCAGCTCTTTCTGGTTTTATTTTGGATGAGTTTTCCATTTTTATAGAAATCTACATTAGAAAGAACATTTTCTGTCTTTAACTTGCAGCTCAGAGTAACAGACTCTCCCTCAGCCACAGGATGGACAGGGCTCACCAGGATCAAATCACTGCCTGTAAAAAGATCAAGGAATATGTGATCAGCTGGTGAAGGTTGAACAAGTTGATGTACAAAGATAAAAATGAATTAAATATTTTTAAACAAATGTTATAGATGCGTACAGTCGCTGAACAAATACCTGACATTTGGCTTGTGTGTTTGAAACTTAACACGTCTTAATGTAAATATTCTTTTTGTTGAGAAATATTGTGAGCCAGGTTCAGGTGTGAAGAAGTTTCGGAGACTGATGAAGACTTAACATTGCTTGGTTTATTGAGCCCAACCGAGGAGATACAGTGCCAGCATACAACATGTGAACACGTCAAATGCCAACACCAAATCTGAAGGATAACATCTTGTGGTCCCTTTTATGTTTCTGTCTTCCCCCTAGTGCCTGTAGGTTTCTCTATTAGGTCACCTTACACCCAGAACTATCTATCTGATGTTTAGACTCCAATGCTGCGTCATATTGGAATCTCTCACTATCCATGAGTTAAACTCTAATCTGTGGAGCCAGTAAGTTCTTGTAAACATTCTTGCAGGATTCAACCTTCCCAGAGAACACTGATATCTGCTAGCCTGATGCCTGAGCTACTGTCTCTAACTAATCAGTCTATTGTTGTCTCCCTGACAAGGACAAGTACATGTGAGAAATACCTAAAGCTAGAATGTCAGAAAACACTTATGGGGTCAGCTAAATTATTCTAAGCTATACCTGATATACCTTTCCCTGTTACATCAACAAAGCCTCTTAAGAAATATTCTCAGAAACAGAATCAGAAGAAGCTTTATTGCCAAGTAGTGTTTTACATACGAGGAATTTGCTGTGGTGATAAGGTGCTACACGTAGACAAACATACAGTCAACATAAATAAATGTGGAAATATATAAATATGGAATAGAAGAACGTTGCATTATTCTGGGTCTGTGCCATGCAGAAGTAACGTAACGGAAGAGAATATTGTGTACATATAAATATATAAACTGACAACATAAAAATACAACAACAAAGATCAACAATCAGAAGGTCAAGAAATGTCAATGTTTAACTCTTTTTGAAATTAAAAAATCTAACAGGCAACAGAAATGAGTAATGCCACCATTCCTTTAAAAAGAATACACTACATTCAATACTACTGATAATAGTCAAAACATAGACTGGATATAGTTTTATTTACAGGATGTTAAATAAATCAGTTTGGCAACTCAAATTTCTGATTGATTTAATGGAGTATTAAAATCATTCATGTTCAATAAAATGCTATAAAAACTCACTCTGCCCAGTGATGTTGACTGCATTGCTGAACTGTCCTGTTTCAGACTCACACCAGAACACTCCATCAATGTACTGTGATTTATTGGTGTTGCATGTGGATCCAGTCATTGTCCCCCAGGAAGAACAGTGTGGCAGGTGGCCAGATTTAGAAAACCTCCTCACTCTCCACTTAGTAGAGTTTCCTTCACAGCTCAGTGACACGGACTCTTCGGTGAAGTGCTGCACTCTGTCAGGACTCACTGCGAGAGACGCTGCTGGATGAAAATCTGAAAAACAAAAACATGTAATGAGGGCACAAACTAGGCATATGAAGTGATAAATGAGAAAATAGAAAATACCATAATTTTAATCAATCTTGTCTGATTTGTTTTTAATCTTTTTGATTGTTTGGTGAATAGAAACACAATATCACACATATAGAGGTTTAAATGAGATTAAAAACACCACATTGGAAATAAAGCTATGGGTTTTATTTATGTGCCTCTGATTAGTCCACTGACAGAGACATCTAGTTTGTAAAAGGTATGATTGGTTAGGGGGCGGGACTAGTAGTCAGAGGAACTGGAGGAGCAGGAAAACAAGGGAGACGTGCGACTGTATTTTGAGTGGCCAATAGCTACGAACCAAGACGAATATTAGAGGGTAGAGACCTTTATATACAGTCTATGTGTCTACAGTGTTAGCCTGACTCATTTAAGATAAGTGTGTTTTTGGCTAAGAGTCTGCTGTGGACATTACTGTGTATCTCTGAGCTGACCTTGGCCGGTAGGATAATTAGCATAGTATCTCACGGCTCGCTTGCCGTGTGTGTGTATGTGGACTTTGAGGCCCGGACAGAACTCACTGGTACCCTGCTCAGGGAGCGAAGGGACCATCCGCTCTACTGTAAACTGTCATTCAGCGCGCTCAAGCTGCAATCAGGCCTGCAACGGGGGTTGTTTATTTTAATTCCGGGTTTTATTTTTTTGGGCCCATTAGAGTAACTGAGTAGAGTGCTGTGGTTATCGATATATATGATTATTGTTTTATATGAAGTTATCTGAGGTATTTGCTGCTGAATGTTCATTAGCAGTTGAAATGTGAACAATATTGTTTGCTAAGGTACACTCAGATATTTGCAGCGGTTAGTGCAGAGAACTTTTAAGTTTCCATCAAGAGTTATAAAGGTACAGACTGACCTTGATCAGTTTTACAATATCTGGGGAACAAGTGGACGGTTGTATACTTTTATTGGTTAAGGTAATTGAGGGGACATCTCTCTAAACCCTAAAGGTCACTTTATTTAATAAAATTTTATTATTTTTAATTTTAAAAAAAAGTAAATAAATACTGCCTTGTCATAAGATTTACCTCTTTGTCATTGTTATAAATATACACATTTGAAGCAGAGGATTTTCAGTTTAAAAAGAGTTAAAAACTACACATCTGCACCATCTTTTGTAAAAATAGTTCTGTCAGAGTGTTCCTAAAGTAGTTAGTGGTTAAAAGTTGCAACTGACGCTATAGGGTGCAGATTACTGAAAAGAACCCAAGGTGCTGTAACTCATGCTAGATGATACTGAGAAAGCACTACATCAGCAATACCAGAATAGATAAAAAAACTAATTACAACTAAAGGTTCTGCATTTACATGTTTAGGGGAAAGAGAGAAAAAAAACAAGAAACACAGACTTTAATTTAAAAGAAATTAAGAAAGAAGGCCAGGTAAATGGAAAATTAAGGAAGAAGTGGACGGAGGAAAGAAGACAAACAAAAAAGAAAGTACCAGTGCCTCAACCTTATATGCTACTAAAGTACATACACTTACTGAATGAATTTGTTATTTATATCCAGATTTGGGCATTAGTGGTTAGTTAAATGTGTCTTTAGCTGATTTTCGCTGAAATAAAACTCTTTCAAAAAGCATTTATGGTATCTAGTTAAACACGCAATGTACAGTAGTGGCCTTACACAGTGAGGTTATATGTTTCCAAAGTCAAAGGACACAGGTAGCTGCTGATTCCACTATTTGAGAAATTGTGTGTAGGATGAAAGGGTGTGAGGAGATTTTCTCATGTTAAAATTGAGTCCAGTCCAGAAGAAGAATCAAACAACTGTTTTAGAGAAGAGTTTGGAAAACTGAACATTTGACCTGAGTTAAAAAAAAAAGGTCACAACAGTAAATACATTTCTTCTATTGTGTGAACATGGAAAGGTCTAATCAAACTGACCTCCAGACCAGACAAACTTTGCTATACTGTAAGAAGTGTAATACACTGGATCTCCTCTTCCAGCTCTGCACTTATATCCTGCTGTGTGTGTCTGTCCATGAACGATGTAGGAATCCTGTTCAGTCCCGTTGCTGCTGCCAGGTAGCAGCTCTTGGTCGTAGGAGTTGGCTGATAGTTTGGGAACAGCCTTAAACCAGAAGAACCTCCATCCTGCAGATGGATCTTTAACTCTGCAGCTCAGAGTTACTGAGGCTCCAGGACTCAGCCAGGATGGAGACACAGTGAGGACAGGCTGGGGCTCTGTTGGAGGGGGATTTTAAGAATAAAAACATGTTATGGTGGTGAATTACATGCACTGCTTGCATCCTACATATTTTCTCCATCTTTCTTCAAATATACAATACAAATATCAAGGTGCTTAATATATAGTAACCAAAATAGCAATTTTAATATCTTTTAGATTCAGCAAACTGATGACATGACTTACTGTAAGATAGTGTCAATGTGAAAGCATCACTCCAGTCTGTTGAAAACTTTCCACTTTTCATTCTGCCCAGACACCTGTACTCTCCAATGTGTGATGATGAAGCAGATCTGATGATGTATTGATTCTGTTTTTGAGGTTTGTATGAGCTCGTAGTTTTCCACTCATACTCCCACTCAGTGTCTCCTCCATCCTTGATCTCACATCTCAGAGTGATCGTCTCTCCTGAGTATATCTCAGGCCAGTTGGGTTGCAGAGTCACTACAGCCCTGTTTGTGACTGTTCAAAAAACAATAAATAATAAAATAACAAAAGCTTAAATGTTTTTAACCTTATTCGTAATTATTAATCATGTATGTACATTGTTTTCCTGCATTTTGTATTTTATTCTGTAATTCTAAATTGTCAGTTTTGTCAATACCGATTGCATCACTGTCCTCTGTGTAGTAAACTGGGTCTCCTCTTCCTCCTCTGCACCAGTAGAGTCGTCCCTGTGAGACACTGATTTGTCCATCTGAGATGAAGACAGCATCTTGTGTGTTCAGGGGTTCAGAGGTTTTCTCTCCTCTGTACCAGAAGTATTTCCAACCAGATGACGGGTTCACAGAGCAGCTCAGGGTCACACTGCCCCCTGCTGGAAAGTCTCTCCTGACAGCTCTCAGTTTGGCCTTTGGTCTCTGTGCTGTTTGATTTAGAACAAAGACATGATTAATGTAAAAAGATTATTAAAATGAGAAATATATAATCCAGCATTGTTGGTGGTGCAACAACTAATTGTTGATTGAAATCATTAGAAGCTATTTTTATGTTTCACACTTATTAACGACTGAAGCTGTTGGCCACATTAACATAACAATGGTTAAAGTTCAAACACATCTTTAAAAATGAATGACCATTTAGACACAGCCTTCTCTTTGTGTCCAGTGTCTCTAAGATCATCACTCTGCTTCACTCTGGGAATGCTACATGTCTGCAGCTCATTCTGGCAAAATGTCCCTGAATGTTGAGACTTTAGTTTGAAAACTACTTACGTTCAGCTTTCAGTTAAAACAATCAGTTTTATTGGTTCTGATTCTTCGTCCTCATCAAATTTACACATGTAAGAGCTCCCGTCTGACAGTAGCTGAATGGTCATTTCAACTGTATTTGGTGATATTATTGATGACTGATGGTTTGTGTCCCTCTCAATAAGTGATCCGTTTTTATAGAAGACAGCGTTCTTCTCTTCTGTCTGAGTCCGATGTCTACAGCGCAGAGTCACTGATTCTCCTTCAGTGGATGCAGGATTTTCCAGGATCACATTCTTGTCTTAGTAACACATGTGGTTCTTTGTTTTACTAAGTCAGCTCAAATAAATGAACATATCAATAATATGAATAAATGTTGCAATGTATCAGTGATTTATGTTTCTCACATATTTTGAATTTAACAGTAAGTTGGAGACAGAAGAAAAGCTGCTGAAGTCACTCTCACTGGAATCAACAATAACAGCTTTAATAATTATGAATAAATAAAATCCCCCCTCCCATGAAAGAGGCTACACACTCAACAGCCCTGTATAATACATTACTGTTAATACATCACTTATAAACACTAAAAGGGCTAATTTCTAAAATTTGTTCATTTTTCACAAAGAAAAAAAATGGGTTTGTTGGTAAATCCTTATGATCATTATGCAAATCTTTTAATGTGAACAGCTGAACCCAGCCCATCTTTCTTGTTCTGCTTTTAGTTGTCATAATTATGTGATAACAGTTCTACAGCTGCATAAACAGCATTAGTGGAGCTGGACAAACTTTAAGTTTTTTGAATCTTAAACTAGTTTTTACACTAAAATCCAAAGACATTTATACTTTATATTATCAACATGACTCATAAATCAGTGCTTTTATGTAACTTGGTCATCATAGTAAAACATTCATCACTTACCTGATACAGTTAGAGAGACTTTATTACTTTCCTTTGGCAAATATGTTGAGACCTTGAGACTTCCAAAGCACTGGTATTCACCACTGTGGCCTGTATCTAGTGGTTGTAATGTGTAGTTTTTATTTGTGTTGTAGTGGAGAAATTCTCGACCATCCTTGTTCATTCTGTAATACCAGTCAGTGTCTTTTCCTTCCCTCATGTCACATGTGAAGGTCACAGACTCTCCAGTAAATAAAGGGGACCAGTTTGGCTCAATGGTTAGCAGAGAATCTAGAAACCAACGCAAGATTCATGGAGTGAAATGAGAAATACACTGACAGACAGAAAAAGGATGCGTTCAAGAGTGATGCGGATTCATCTCAAGTGAATACATGACAAGAAAGAAACTTGTTTAATTACCTTGAGCATGTCCACAGTAGAGGAGGATATTCAGCACTACAATAGAGTTTGAAACCTCATGAAACACATCAAACTGAAGATTCAAGAGTTAATAGATGAAATAAAGGAAGTCAGTGATACTCACAGAAAACCCCCAGCAAACAGAGCAAAGTGTGTCCCATACTCATATCCGGCACCGACTCTGTGACTCTGTTTCTGAGAAATCCTTCTAACTGTCTAAAGAAAAACCAGGAACAGAAGACACATTTCACTAAACCTCTTCTTCTTCTGAGTTTAGAGTCTGTGTTTCCTTCCCCTTTACTAAAAACACACAACTAGACTGGGTTTGGCCACCGCATATTTTTGTCATATAAGACAAAGACTACTTTGTTGAATAATTTCGTCTCATAAACACATAAACCTGTAAGACTTTATGTTGTGTTTAGTTGTTTATTTAATACTTTATATGTCCACTGCTGTTAGAAACATAGTGAATGTTTTGTGGTGTGTGTGGTGTAGCCTGGCCAGAGTGGTTAGGAAGGTGGTTGGTAGGCAGACTCCAACATCATATGTTTGCAGAAGTGATTATTTTATTGACCATGGTCGGCAGTACATGGATAATTCAATCCAAAATAACAAAAGAAAAATAACACATCAAACTTATAGCAACACTAACACAAGGCACGTGTTCACAGCAGCACACCCTCACCTCCTTTTTTTTTTTTTTCCCCTGTTTATATAGGGTGGTCAATTCCCACCCAACTGCTTCAGCCCATCCCATTCTGATGCAGGTTGATACTCCACAACATCTATATCTAGAAATCTCTTAATATTTGGAACTTCGTTATCAGTTCACTCTGCTCCCACTGCCTAGAAAAACAGGTCAGGGTTATTCACACATTTATTCATAATAATCAAAAAACAACCAAAAGAAACATTCCTACAAAGAAAGAAAACCCTCTACTTGGTTTGGCCCGGTGATGTCATCCATGACCACCCTATTCCTATAAATCAGGAAATACTTACACCGGCCCCTCCGTAAAAAAAATATCCTGCATGGTGGAACTGAACAAAGGAACAAACAATTGTAAGTATTAACACAGGAAAACAACAATAACATAATAAAAAACACAAACAACCTGGAATAGTAAGTGGTGCACTTTTACACAAGCTATGGCAAATTACCAAAAAACATAAACATATATGTATAAACTAGAAAGTCATGGCCTGTATGGGACAAGTGGTGAGCAAACCCACTTCGTCACAGTGTGAGTCATGTGATCTTTGTATGCATGTACTGAACATCCTGTATGTGTCTCTAACACTCTCCACAGAGATATGAAATGTGGTCAAAACACATTTTATTTAGTGTTAGAAGCATATTGTCAAACCCACACTAAGTAAGGTGCTGGCTCACTGGCAGATATCAAAGATGGGTGTAGAAAACCACACTAAGAACTCTCTGGCAATGTTTTTTTAAATCATTTCTATGGATCAACTTTTTTGGCACATGTTCCCTTCATCAGAATAAAAACTGGCATCATATGACTACATAATGTATAGGAAAGGTTTTCAAATCACTGAGTTTGCAGCACAATCAACATGAACAAAGAAATATAACAAACCAAATCCATCGAGGAGATTTGCATAGCCAAAAGACTTCTCCTACATCAAAATATCCACATTCCAAGAACCAGCAAATGAAAATCAAACTAACAGCAAAAATCACAAAGAGGAAAAACACTGGATGCCAACATTGCTGGTCGTTAGAGAGGGGACATGTTTACTTTTAAGGTCTCTATAGTCCCTAAACACTGTTGATTGGACTATTAAGTATTTGAGACACCTGTCCTGTCAGCCAGTATCACATTTGGCTTTAATCTGTCCAGCACATGACATCCTCTACCCTTAGACCCTCAATCCAGGATTATCAGGATAATGCTTTAAACCCGTAGGTTGGAGTGCATTTAACTGTGGCCAGAGAAAGCTCTGCATTTCAAATACAAGAATAACTGTCTAAAGGCCTTGATGTTTAAAAGCAACAACTAGTTCACAATGAATCGTTAGAGCCTGTTTGAAGCCATGAACAAACAGTGGCAGACATTTTCTGTTGGCTTTGCTTGCTTCTCATAAACTTCTTATGTTTGGTAGAAGCATTAGCAGCTAAATGTGTTCTTCTGGATCACTGTAAAATCTCTTCCTCTTAAAACACAAACACAAATTTCTCTCTCTTGGTCAGTCGAATGTGATACATGACTGATGTGAGGATCAAACCTGTGACTTTTTTCACATTGAATTACTTAATATCACTTGTGGCGGACAAGCCTGGAATATAACCAGTTCTTAACTTGTTTATATTCTGGCAGATGTAGTTTGTAAACTGACATGGCAGAAAAAATTATTATTGCTCGATATATTGATGAATAATGTCGGGAGGTCAGGTGATTTGTTAGACAGCAAAGAGACATTTATATATATAAATATATTAAAAATGATTCCTTCCAGAATAAATAAAGAGAGCTCAGATGAAATGACCTCAGGTGTCATTCTCACTTTCTCACCCAACTGGTAAAAGTTTATCTGAAAATGTATTCATTTTCAGCTTAAATCGCAAAGTTAAACTGCAGTACTGTAGAGAAAAGGATCCCATCCCCCCAACAAAGAAGATTTACATGTCCTCATGTTAAGGTGAAATCCTGATTTTAAGTTTGGTCATAACTTCACCCACAGGAAGTGACTGTGCTTGAGGAAGACAGAAATGGTCTCATGAACAGAAGTGAATGTGAAGAGAGCCAAAGCCCTGCCCCCTCTCCCAGCTAGCATCTTTTGCATTAGTTGCAGCTGTGACTCTTTGGGTTTTGTCTTAGAGGATACTGTTATTGTTTATAGCATCAGGTGTTTTATATACAACCATCTCTGGTGGTGACGGTTAAAAGTGAAGGAAGGAAGTGGAGGACCAAATCTTCATTCAACCTAATCTGAAACGGAGGGAAGGAAGAAAAAAAAACTTCAAGACATTCAGTGGCAGAACATATTGCACTGCACGTGGAGACAAACATATTTTAAAACCTGCTTTTATACTGATGTAAGGACATGAATATTCCTCTTGTGATCTGTGCCTGGACTCCCCTGTTGCCTCTTTGTATTGTCCACCTCATGATATATGTATATGTCAGCATCACACTTAAAGTATCTTCATGATAACGTGACACAAGGTTTGTTTGTATTTGTTCAGGTTTTATCACATCTCTCTCTGAGATTTCTGCCTTCACCCTGATTCAATATAGATTAATTTAAATTAAATGAACAGAATTAGATGAACAGAATCCAACAACAACGTGTCTTTTCAGCAAATGTCTCAGTTACTGTGAATAATCCACATATCAATGAACAGTTTTTACTGGAAAAATGTTTTACCAAAAGAATAGTAACCAAAATCAAGTCTACTTCGTGGCTTTTGACAAGCTTGGGGGCCTTTCCGAAACTGCTTGCTACTCCCTCTCCCTACATACTTCCACTCTGTTTGAGCGTTTATGCGGAGGGTACGCCATATTGAGTGCCATCCTAAACCAATGAGGGCGCAGTAGTAGTGGGTTGTTAAACCTTCAAATGCCGAGTAAGCACCAATGCTGGCTTGTTGAAGGTGTGTAACACCCTTTGCTGCACGATGGGGGACCTTTCTTTCAATTTGCGTTCCGTGTGACTTCGCCGGTTAACATATGTTAACTACACTAACACCATTCGCAGGTTAACAACATAGCCCATATGATTTATATTGAAACGTTGTGTTTGTGAATGTAACATTTTTCATACAGGCTAAGTTAAAGTTATATAGGCTTTTCTTTACAATGAATATCAATCTTTTCATAAAAGAATATAATATTTATTTTTCGTAAATATATAAAGTCATGTTCTTAAAGAAATATTCGACATGAACAAACATTGAAATGAATGACAAATTCTTTCACTTTCGTTAATTTTCCTCAACATCAATCCTGAATCTTAATACCACTGTTGTTTATTTGATACTGTTTGATCTGTTGATTTTGATCAAGGAGAGAAGTCCAATGAAAATTAACAAAAGATTTAATTAAAAAAATTAGTGAATCAAAAGATAACATTATAGAACAAACAAAAACACTGCACTGAAGAAGCTTCTCTGTAAAGAGAACTTACACATTTTACTGCTGGAAAGAAAAGTTTATTCATACATAAAGTTATTTTTAATATTAATTAGTAAAAAAAATATTAACCTACCTTTCAATATATTTTAAAAGCTAAGGAAAAGGTGTACATTACAAGGATATTTAGTTTGATAGCAGATCATTACATATAGGCCTACTAAAGTAATTGTTCACATCCATCCTCATCCAACTCTGAAAAAGATGCTGACTTTAAAGCTGCATTATCAGCTGGGTATTAAAGCTCAAATATACTTCAACAAACTGTTACCTGCTGCTGCTTTTCAGAACAGCTTACCTTTAAACTTTTCAACAAAAATGTTTAAAAAATAACTGTAAAATAATAATAATAATGCAGTGCATAAATACTAAATGGGAATACACCTGAGCTGTCTTGTGCTTTGTGCTAAAAGAGAGTAATTTAATCCATATGACATCATTATTTTATATAATCTGTTAATTAAAAAAAAAATGAGACAAAAACAAATCAGTTTAAGCCATGTATGTGAAATGCAAATGTACTGTAAACAAATGTCACACACCACAATAACATTCACATATGAAACAGACAATGTTAAACTGTATAATGATAATGCATGTTAATCCAAACTCTGAGCTGCTGTGACTGAACTCAGGTTCCTATCGTCACCTCAGAGTGAACAGAGCTCTCTGTCAGAGGGTGGGTGTGCGGTTGGAGGTTTGAGGACCCAAACGCAGGTCACAAAAATAGTCAGGTACAGTTCAAAAGGTAAAAGCGAGCACACTTACAAGGAGTGGCTGAGTCCAGAGAATCCAAAATCATAAATAATTCAAACAAGCAAACAAAACAGACATCTGAAACAGGTACAGATCCAGAGAGCTGTTTCACAAAACCAAGTTGTGGATTAAGCCGGGATTTTCCAAATATACTGGCGGAAATTCGCCCTGACTCAGTTTCTCGAAAACATTAGTACTTACAGTCCCTTCCAAAAGTATTGGAACGGTAAAGCAAATTCCTTTTTTTTGTTGTTCACTGAAGACATTTGGGTTTAAGATCAAAAGATCAGAATTTCAGCTTTTATTTCCTGGTACTCACATCTAGATGTGTTAAACAACTCAGGACATATCACCGTTTGTATTAGACCACAGCATTCTTAGGTGAGCAAAAGTATTGGAACAAATAATCTTCAAGTAAATAACATTTAATATTTGGTGGCATAACTCTTGCTTGCAATAACTGCCTCAAGCCTGCGACCCATCGACATCACCAAACTGTTGCATTCTTCATTTGATGCTATTCCAGGCTTTTACCGCAGCTTCTTTCAGTTCTTGTTTGTTTCGGGGTTTTTCTCCCTTCAGTCTCCTCTTAAGGAGGTGAAATGCAGCTCTGTTGGGTTAAGGTCAGGTGATTGACTTGGCAGACAAAATGTTTCTGTCCACTTCTGAATTCATTCTGTTGCTACCATCATCAGTTACTTCATCAACAGATATTAATGAGCCTGTTCCAGAGGCAGCCATGCACGCCCAAGCCATGACATTACCTCCACCATGCTTCACAGATGAGCTTGTACGCATATTTTCTAGCTCTTTTTGTTATTTCTCAAGCTGCTCGTGTTCCTTTTCCTTAATGTTGCTGTTGCTTGAGATTGCCACATTTATCATCATTAGCATCCTTACACAGTCTGCACCTGGATCTTGTACTGAGTGCCTGTTCTTGTGCCGCCATGATTAGTGCTTCTGTGCTGTCCTTTAGTCGAGCCTTTTCCAGCCACTTCTTGTATGTGCCGGTGGTACATGCCGTGCAACATCTTGTCCTTTGAATTCCTTGTCCTCACCCTTGGGTTTCTGCTGCCTGAGGTATTCACTAAGCCCTTCATCTTTGTGGGCTATCTTCCTGATGTACTCTTGGCAGTGGTTTTGTCACTCACTAGCCCTCGGCCTCCCTCGCTCCACTTAGTGTACAGTCTCAGGGTGCTGGATTTGGGGTGAAACCCTCCATGCATTGTGATGAGCTTTCTTGTCTTGATGTCAGTAGCCTCTATCTCCTCTTTTGGCCAGTTTATTATACCTGATGACTGGCAGGGCGTATGTTTTTGATGGCTTGTATCTTGTTCTTCCCATTCAGCTGACTTTTCAGGACCTGCTTTACCCTTGTAAGTATTTGGCTGTGGCGGACTTCCTTGTTGCCTCCTCATGGTTTCTGTTTCCCTGTGGACCCCAAGGTATTTGTAGCTGTCCTGAACATCTGCAATATTACCTTCTTTCTAATATTATTTCTATTTCTTATGCCTTGATGTGCAATGTGTGCAACTGTAACACAAAAATTTCCCCTCGGGGATTAATGAAGTATTTCTGATTTCAGAATCAACCAGCTGGACAGCGTATCTCTCGGTTTGTCTGTGTTTTGGTTGTTTTGCCAGACTTGTCTGTTTTGTATACAGCGACAAGTAAAAGAGTAAAATACAACTATATACAGACATGGACAAAATTGTTGGTACCCTTCTGTTAAAGAAACACCCTGAAATAACATAATAAACTAAAATAATAATAAATAAAAAAATACTGAAAATGAAATTGTTTTTTAATTGTGGTTTAACAGAATCATTGTAAAAAAACAAACTTATGAAACTGGCCTGGACAAAAATGATGGTACCCCTAGAAAAGATTGGAAATAATTTGACCATAAGGACATGTTAAAAGAAAGATAATTATAGAAAAGCTTGTTAAAGGTAAAGGCTATAAGACCAGTTCCATGCAGCTTGGTGTTCCTGTGACTACAGTTGCACATATTGTTCAGAAGTTTAAGGTCCATGGACGTGGCCGCAAGAGGAAAATTCAGGACAAATCTAAGAGACGGATAATATGAATGGTAAGCAAAGAGCCCAAAACAACTTCCACTGACATTAGAGATGAACTCCAAGGTCAAGATACATCAGTGTCAGATCGCACCATCCGTCGCTGTTTGAGCCAAAGTGGACCGAGGAGGACACCACTGTTGAAAGCAAATCATAAAAAAGCGAGACTGAATGCATATTGACAAGCTAAAAAGCTTGTGGGAGAATGTCCTTTGGACAGATGAGACAAAACTGGCGCTGTTTGGCAAGTCACATCAGCTCTAAGTTCGCAGACGCAAAAATGAAGCATACAAAGAAAAGAACACTGAACCTACTGTGAAGCATGGAGGAGGCTCAGTTGTGTTTTGGGCTGCTTTGCATCTGGCACAGGGCGTCTTAAATCTGTACAGGGTTAATGAAATCTCAAGACTATCAAGTCATTCTGGAGCAAAATGTGCTGCCCAGTGTGAGGAATCTTGGTCTCAGTTACAGATATGGGTCCTGCAACAGCTAAAACCACCCGAGAATGGCTAAGAGCAAAACATTGGACTATTATGAAGTGGCCCTCTATGAGCCCTGATCTAAATCCTACTGAACATCTGTGGAAGGAGCTGAAACATGCAGTTTGGAGAAGGTACCTTTCGTACCTGAAACAGCTGGAGCAGTTTGCTAATGAGGAGTGGGCCAAAATACCTGTTGACAAGTGCTGAAGCCTCATTAAGAGTTGATTGCAGTGCACAAAATATTAAGTTCAGGTTACCATCATTTTTGTCCAGGCTTGTTTCATTAGTTTGTTTTTTAAAATAATCCTGTTGAACCCTCAGTTCAAATTTCATCAGTTAATTTTCAGTTATTATTTTATCTATTAATACATTTTGTCAATTTCAACTTATTTCAGGCACCATTGTGGGTTTTTCTTTCTTTAAAGGAAGGGTACCAACAATTTTGTCCACGTCTGTATATAGTCCTCTGCCATCTAACCTATAGAATTACTACTTAATTGCAATAAAATATGTATAATAAGTATAAATACAAAAGCAAATTCAGCAGAAATCAACAGGAAAATTAAATCTAACATAACAGAATTGTAATTATTTCATATAATCCGATGATGATGCACTTCTCTTTATGGACCTGTAATTCAGAAAAAATATAAATGAAAAATAAATATTTGATACATTAACCCTATAACACCATCAGAACAATTAATGAAATTTTAAGTTACCTCAAATTAATTAAAACATTTACATTGACTGTAATTTCAAATGCATGCGGACCTAAAGTTATATGGTAAAGCTACTTCATTGTCACATACACGTAGCAATATTCATTCTCTGCATTTAACCCATCACTCCAGGGAGCGATGGGCAGCCGCTGTACACACAGGGACGCCTCTATTATTTGTACTTCTAATGTATTTAATGATGGCGATATGAAACAATTTTAGCAAAAATTGTGTTTAAATACAAATGACCCAGAAGCTAATGTTAATATTTGTACCTGCAGGTGTGTGTGGAATCACATTACAATAGTCAAGGCTCCTTGTGGGATGATTTCGTATTCCTGTTAAAACAATATGATAAAAAAAATTAAAACTGTCTTTTATAATACCCACAAAGTATGTTAATACCAATGTGACCATTAGCAGGGGTACATACTTTTGGTATGTATTCTGGGATTTCTGTTTGAATTAACATTCAGTTTATTTTTGATGTTTCATATTTTGTGTACTCACTCCTCTTTCCAAGACCTTTGAGCTGAAACTCAGATACGACATGGCTGTATTCTGAATTCATGTCTGCAAGTCTGTCACCTGAAAATAGAAAGTTTTAACTGGCTTTAATTTTAATCACTCAATTAAAATCACATACTTGGGACTGCTCTGCATGAAGCACAATTTATACTGTACCACGCATATTCTTTCCAAAGCCACTGATTTTTTCATAGTCACAAACATGACCTACAGAAAAATCAGAAGTCAGATTAGTCACAATTTAGTTTACTGGCGTTAAATCTACTGCACAAAGAATACTGTTATTATTCAAAATATAATAACTGATATGTAGTAGTTTGTCAGCTGTAAAGGTAATTCAGGATTAGATGGAGGACTGACCATGGAGAAGAGAGGAGTATACTTGCTGCTCATTTTCATCTTGGTTTACCGTTTGGACGATAGCAGAGCTCTGATTGGTTCTCTGAGTCTGGATGAGCCTGAGACATGTACATGAGTAGAAAAATGTCAGGATTAGTAAACTTAAACAGTCTGTCGTGGTTTTCCTGCTTGTATGATTGTCTCCCTAATGATTTTCACCTGTGTCTTGTTATTCCACCTCTAGTCTGTGCTTGCGTCCCAGACCTTCCTCTGTGTTTTGATTTGCCTGATTCCCTGGACTTCCTTTGGACTGGACTGCTCACCTGTCTCTGACCCTGGCCTGCATCCACTTTCCATCAGTTTGTTCAACTTTTTGTTTAATTACTAATAAACATTATAAAACTGACCCTGCGAATGAAACTCACACATTCAAGCAGCAACGTCTGTGAGGACCACTGAATACATAGATGTGATGGCACTGCTCAGTAGTGGCACTGACTGGGGAACCTAACATGTTTTTGAGGTGGGGGAGACCGAAGCACCCGAAGGAAACCCACGCAGACACGGGGAGAACATGCAAACTGCACACAGAAAGGCCGGGACAACCGGGTTTGAGAGAGGACTGTAGTGAGAGCACTGCGGTGTCAGGTGTGACTTTGCAGCAATGGCAAACTGATTACATGGCTCATGAGTCCAATAGGAGGGCCAGCATTAGTTACCATGGCTATGTACCCAGGTAAGAAGTGAACTGCCATTGTAGGACTGAAAAAACAGGGTTAAACCAGAAGTTACCTTGCTCACCACAAATCCAGCTTGGAGTACAGGCCCCCAGATCCCTTGTTTCTGTGTCTGCGCTTGGCTCAATGTGACAGTTAATAAATCTTATGTTTAAGATGAGACAAGAGTGTTGACCAACCTGTGGCAACATGTATCTGTGAAAGACAGATTGGTCCTGTGAGACTGGATGAACCTGAAATAGGCAGTAAACAATGTACGTCAGTAGTGATATGTAAAAACTATTAAAAGTAAATAATTTATATTATGTTTAAGATGAGAGTGTTGCACCAACCTGTGACAACATGTATCTGTAAAAAGACAGTAATAATTCAGTTACATGATGTTTTGCAAACTGAGCCACTGATCCATGTCATGAAATCATAAATCCTCAGTATTTTTAATAAGCGGAGAGTAAATTATCTAAACTTAACGCTAAAAGGTCTCACCCTTGGACTTCTTGTACCAACACAGCAGCAGTGGCAGGGGAACAACCAGAAAGATGCCAATAACCAGCCCAACGATCAACAGCACAGGAAATGGAGAGCTGGACGCTGCAATAATAAAGAATATGTATGAAATGATTACACAAAAGGGGACCCCAATCAAGGGTCAGCATGACTGAAAGCAGAGAAAAATATATGCTTTTGGCATTATCAACAACACTGTGTGACTTTTGTGCTCTTTTCTGATTAATCCCAGTAAGGCAACATTGAGGAAGGTGTTTGTGTTTGTGAGGTCACTAAATGATGACTGACTTGCATGTGGTGTTACAGTGATTTAGACTGACTTGAGTCTGTAATTGCTGCCAAAGATGCTTCAACTAAGGACTGAGTTAAGGGTCTGAATACTTTTGACAATGTAATATTTCTGTTTATTTCTTTTTTAATACATTTGCAAACATTTCTAAAATCCTGGTTTGACTTTATCATCCTTGATTGTAGATTGAGGAGGGGACAATGAAAACATCTCCCAGCTGGAGGGCTTTAGAAATAAAGTATCTGAGGGTCTGAAAAGGTAGGCATCTGACTAAACTGTGAGGCATATGAGGGCGAGGACATGAACTTTCAGAACTTAACAAGTGCATTGGAGTAGAGCTCCAAATACATTGACAAGACACTGTTTTTAAGAGAACAGAAAATAGCTAGTTAACATGTCAATTTTGGTTTCTGAGGGGAATCTCTACATACAAAAAGAAATTAAATTCCTGCTCAACCTACCTTGTGTGAAATGAGGCTAAAAAGTAATACTGATTGGTTGAGACCACTGAGAGATATATGACGGGGGACATAATCTTTCAAAACTTGAAAAGCACACTCATAGTAAAGAACAAGAGCTGTTAACTGTTTGTGCACCAAGAAGCTGACAAACAACAGTCTTTATATTTCATTTTTGATCAAAATTATTGCTAGGGACAATTCAGCAGTCGCTGGATATTGGTACAGGGACATGTTTTACCATAACTACTGAATTCTACTTCCTTCAACATAACAAAATGTGTGAAAGGGTCTGAATACTTTTGAATGCACTGTAAAGTAATACACATTTCACTGCTAATCATGTATTTACCTTGGACCTAATACACGTTATTAAATACCCTAATGTAGAACACCTTATTTTAGACAAACTAATAAGTTAAACTAAGCCGTCTTCTAATGAATTACATTTCTTTCTCAGACTGTAACACAGCTTACAAATGCTGCAGAAACTGTTTTAATCACACTCACATTTTACTGACATCCAGCTCTCTGGTGATCGACTCAGCTGACCTGGTGGTGAATATTTTCCTTCACATTTATAAAAGCCTTCATCTGACTTTGACACTGCAGGGAGAGTCAGCTCATTTCTGGTACAACTTTGGATGAGTTTTCCATTTTTGTAGAAATCCACAATAGAAAGAACGTTTTGTGTTTTTAACTTGCAGCTCAGAGTAACAGAATCTCCCTCAGCCACAGGATGGACAGGGCTCACCAGGATCAAATCACTGTCTGTCAAAAAACATCAAAGAAAATGAGTTCAGCTGGTGCTGGTTAATTGACTTTAATGTGTCTTCCTAAATTATTCTTTCTTCCAGATATCTAAAAGTAAAACCAGCATAAAGAATATAGTGTTTGTTTGAATTTTGTTCATAGAGATTCCACTCAAACTAGGCATTTTATTTCAGTGGGTGGTAATGGCACTTTCAGCTTGCAGCCAACCTTCATTAGATAGGATTCAACTTCACTGTCATCATGCAGAGGACAGGCAGAGTTGGGAGGATTACTTTAAAAATGTAATCTGGTACAATTACTAATTACTTGTTAAAAAATGTAATCAGTAACGTAATCCAAGTATCACAAAATAAAAATAATGTCATCTGATTACTTTTAGTTACTTTTGAAAACATCAATACCGAATAGGCAAATGAAGACAAGAGAATATCAATGATTGGTTGTCTGGGCTACGTTCAGACTGCAGGCCAATGTGACCCAGATCCGATTTTTTTGCCCATATGTGACCCAGGTCTGATCTTTTTATGACAGTGTGAACAGGCCAAGTCACATGGAAACTGATCTTTTCCAGTTTGGAATTGGGCCACTTCCATATGTGGTCTGAATCCGATACAGATCTTTTTAAATGCGACCCGAGTCTGGACCCTCAGGTCGGAATCGATGTGACTTTTTATTATTTGACATGGGCCACATTTAAACAGTAATGTGAATTGTCAAACAAAAAAAATCGGATCTGGGGGAAAAAAAAACGGAATTGAGCATTAAGGCCTGCAGTCTGACCATAGCCATGTTTAAATGTTTTTATATGATATGCCTTGCACTACGTCATCACTCATCTCTCTTTGTACTCTCTTGGTTTTAGCTTAGTGCATTTTAGTTAATTTCATCTTGGTGTGTTTTTTCTTTGACACTGAATTAGGTAATTCGCTTGTTTCAAGAGTGGTGCCCTGAGGTAGATATAACTTTAAGTTATATTCTATTATTAATTATTAAATAATAGTAATAATAGTAATTACTACATTATTTAATATAAATATAGATGTCATCTACACCCTAATCCCCAACAGCACCTAGGCATTTTTTAAGTATGCAGATTATAACGACGTATATGTAGTTGGTTATATGTACAGTAACATGAGCAAACAGTGTAGGGATTCAGTCTGTTTTCACCATTGACTGGAGTTATTTATGGCTAAAGTAGAGCAGTTGCCTTACCACGCTAAGATGTAGTTTGTTTCTTAAGTGTGAATTTACAACAACCTTGTTTAGTTCTGTTGAACAGAACCCCGAGCGTTTAACTACTTGGTGCAGTTCGTTTGGGCTGGTGTGAATGCCAGACTCAAATTCTGGTGAAGACCAAACAACCGCACCCTGGTCTGCCTTGAAGAGATGGTCTCAGACCGCTGTCAAGTTAACTCTGAAGTAGGGCTGAACGATTAATCATTTTCAAATCAAAATTGCAACTTGAAAGAACGCCACTAGCTAATCGTGAAGACTGCGATTAAAATGTACGGTTAATTATACAGCGCATCTGACAGCCATGCAGTTACAAATTCATTCCGTTGTCATCCTTGTGTGACAGACCTGCTCGCCAAACAAAACAAAACTAGAGGAAAACGTGGGATAATGGCGGCAGCCGGACAGACACAGTCTGCGGCTGTGCTGCAGTTTTGACCGGCGTGTTTCAGCAGCGGAGCGTTTAAGTGTAATTTATACTTCTGCGTCGAATCGACAGCGTAGGTTACGGGGCTACGCAGAGGCTACGCCGTCGCCTGACGTGCACCTCCTAAAAATTTAACGAGTCGACACGGACCGTAAGCACTGTGATTGGTCGACTATAGGGAGCCTTGCAATGCCACCGAGCCGACCGGAAGTACCCCGCGCTTTGAAGTAACTTTTACTAGCGGCCAAAACAGCAGCTGTAACACAGTGAATCAATATATTTGACCATCACAACACGAGAGAAATGACTCGTTTTGCTATCAGAATGTGATCCATTCGGTTGGTAACATTTTAAAGGGCTACACCAGCCGCACGTACTGTATACAGTTTTATCGTCATTTATGTTAGAGTAGCGCAAAACCGGAAGTTATTAGTTATACGGTTTGACATTTTTATTAGAATAATGTTTAAGGTGTTTATTGAAAGTTACACTGAACTTTGGGGATGCAGTTTTCTTGCTCAGCTTTGTTGCTCTCAGGCTGCGCCCTTCACATTTTTGTAAAAACACCCACGTCATATTTTGCACACACACCCAGCCAGTCAAACATTGTTGCTAGGAGGCCGTATCAGAGGCTCAGACGAGGCTATAATTTAGAATAAATTGCATATCCGAATGAAGGAAAATGGGGCCTGCAACTGGGCCCAGGCCTGATAAGAAGAACAGATCTATGAACACAAGGGGTCTTTGCATGAGGACTGCAACTCTGAAGGGTGTGAAGGTCAT